TGACAGCCGCCGTCGCTGCCGCCGCTACCGCCGTTCCCGCCGTTCCAGCCAGGCCAGGCGCCCGCTCCGCCCCCCCCTCCTGAGTGTGCTGCTCGCGGCTACGAGTATGTCGGGTGCAACTGCGACCCGGCTTCTGAATGCTCGCCGTGGGGCTCGAGCTCGGGCGGCGACTGCTGCGGGGACGATGGCGGCTACTGCGGCAGCGAGTGGGTCTCGACGGACGCATCGACGTGGATTGATACTTGCACTGGGCTCGACTTCATCCGTGTCTCTCCAGGCTGCGGTGTGGAGGTGGCGACCGAGACCGGCGGCGGAGGAGAGACATTCACGTACGACTCCAGCGTGCTCGTGTGCGGGTACGAGTGCGAGCCTCGGCCAACGCCGGGCTGCGACAGAGTGCGCTCGCTGCGCCTGTTTCCGCTCGCGCCGCCCACACCGCCGCATCCGCCGTTCCAGCCGGGCCAGGCACCTGCTCCGCCCCCGCCGTCTCCCTGCGTCCACGATGACAGCAAGTGCTCGAGCAGCGGCAACGACTGCTACGCCGATGGCCAGTCTGAGGCGCAGACGTGCAGCGACGGCTACACCGCCAGCCCTCACCCGGACGAGCCTCGGAACGAAGGTCGCTACACGTGCTACCCGCCTCACTGCCGCTGCGACGCGTCCAAATGCTCGAGCGACGGCGACGACTGCTACGCGAGCCCACCCGGTGAGGCGCAGACGTGCCGCGACGGCTACTTGCCGATCGCGATCCGCGACTCGCAGTACACCTGCTGCTTCGACTTCGACCAGCCGCCGTCGCTGCCGCCGCTACCGCCGTTCCCGCCGTTCCAGCCAGGCCAGGCGCCCGCTCCGCCCCCCCCTCCTGAGTGTGCTGCTCGCGGCTACGAGTATGTCGGGTGCAACTGCGACCCGGCTTCTGAATGCTCGCCGTGGGGCTCGAGCTCGGGCGGCGACTGCTGCGGGGACGATGGCGGCTACTGCGGCAGCGAGTGGGTCTCGACGGACGCATCGACGTGGATTGATACTTGCACTGGGCTCGACTTCATCCGTGTCTCTCCAGGCTGCGGTGTGGAGGTGGCGACCGAGACCGGCGGCGGAGGAGAGACATTCACGTACGACTCCAGCGTGCTCGTGTGCGGGTACGAGTGCGAGCCTCGGCCAACGCCGGGCTGCGACAGAGTGCGCTCGCTGCGCCTGTTTCCGCTCGCGCCGCCCACACCGCCGCATCCGCCGTTCCAGCCGGGCCAGGCACCTGCTCCGCCCCCGCCGTCTCCCTGCGTCCACGATGACAGCAAGTGCTCGAGCAGCGGCAACGACTGCTACGCCGATGGCCAGTCTGAGGCGCAGACGTGCAGCGACGGCTACACCGCCAGCCCTCACCCGGACGACCCTCGGAACGAAGGTCGCTACACGTGCTACCCGCCTCACTGCCGCTGCGACGCGTCCAAGTGCTCGAGCGCCGGCGGCGACGACTGCTACGCGGACGGCACGCCAGACGGTGAGGCGCAGACGTGCCGCGACGGCTACTTGGTCGTCCCTGTCAATGACGGGCAGTACACGTGCTGCTTCTTCGACCAGCCGCCGTCGTGCGATACGCTCGATTTTCAGATCTTCACGAACACCGACTGCAGCGGCTCGCCTGCCGTGACGTCGGCGATGTTGTCCGACCGGACGTGCGTGGCGACTCCGGACTCGGTGCTGACGGGTCAGTATTTTGACGTCGACTTTACGCACTGGGGTATGCACGCCATCAGTGAGACGCTCGTCCACGCGTGCTCCGACAGCTCGATGGACAGTTGCGTGGATCAGTTCGATGGTGGCGAGCGCTGTTCCGACGTGCCATTTGAGACGTGCGTCGCGATAGACGAGGCCCGATCCACCGGCATCAAGATTACGTGTGCACCGGCCGTCGACTGCGCCGTGCCGAGTGAGGGCGTGTGCCTCGAGTACGGCGGTGTCGACAGCGACTGCTGTGGCAACTCTGACGTGGTCGGCTGCGCGAGCGGCTACATCCTCTCCCTGCAGATCGCGATCGACGAGGGCGGCACGTGGGCGCGGCCCGCCGATGCGGGCTTCTATCCGCAGTGCGCGAGTGGAGGCCAGAAGATTGGCAACACGTGCTGCACACCAGATCCGTCGCCGCCGCCGCCGTCGCCCGCCGAGTGCTGCGCGGACGTGTGCCCGACGCGCTCGTACTGCGAGGCGGAGGGGATCGGCGGCGACTACTGCAACTGCGGCGACTGCGGTGTGCCCTCGTGCGGCGACTGCGATTGTAACCATTACGGCGAGCAGTGCTGCGACTTTAGCGGCGGCTGCGATCCGACGTGCGGCGGCGAGCCGTCAATGTGCCGCGACAATTCGAACGACTGCTGCGCGAACGAGGCGATGGGCGAGGCTGCCGTGTGCGAGGCGGGCTATGTGCCGACTGTCCAGCCGCAGAGCTACGACGACTGTCCCAACTACACGTGCATGCCGGCGCCGCCGCCGTCGCCGACTTGTGTCGACGACCCCAAGGGCATCCTCGCTGCCGACGCGTACCTAAGCCCTGGCGGCACCACCTGCGCGGAGAAGATGGCGCAGGTTGGAGCGACGTGCGAGACCATCGACGAGGACTACAACGGCTACCGCGTCTCCTACGCGCAGCTCTGCCCAGCGACGTGCGGCACGTGCGCCTCGTACACCGAGCCAGAGTGCCACCGCCCAGAGGTGTGCTGCTGCGATCCGCCGCCGCCCTCGCCGCCGCTGCCTTTTGGCCTGTCGGCGGTCTCGCCGGACGCGCTCACCTTTTCCGAGGCGGTGGCCTGGTGCGCCGCGCAAGGGCTCACTCTCGCCATGCCGCGCACCGAGTCGGAGAATGAGGCCGTGTACGCTGCGTGCCAGTCGTACTACGCTTGCTGGCTCGACGCGCGCGAGAATGCGGCCGGGGATGGATGGGTGGACGGCGACGGCAACGCGCTGACGTACACGAACTGGGATGGCGGCGAGGGGTCGTGCCACTGCGGCGAGAATCGCATCTTCATCAACAGGGTTGGGACGGCCGAATGGCACGATGTGGGCGAGGGCGGCGACGGGCAGACACGCGCCATTTGCCAGCAGCCGTCGGGTTCGATTTCGCCGTCGCCGCCGTCGTCGACTGTGTGCGACACGTCGCAGTGTGCAGAATACAGTCCGACGTCGCAGGACGACGACTGCTGCGCGCTCGATTCGGACATCTACTGCATGAACGGCTACACGCTCTCGCGCGTGATGCCGGGCACGCCTGGTGTGACGTGGCTCAATGGTCAGATGTCGGGCTGCGAAGGCTACGGCGGCAACACGTGCTGCTCGCCGCCAGAGAGTCTGGCACCGCCGGCATCGCCGAGCTCCTGCGCGAGAGGGTACACCGCGGTGTCCGGCGAAGGCTGCTCGAACTACATCCACATGGATGACGCCAGCACCTACGGCGTTCAGGGAGGATCCACGACCCTCGAGGAGTGCGCCGCGGCCGTGCAGGCTCTCAACGGGCAGGATGGCTGCGTGGGCGAGTACTTCTTCTTCGAGACGGACGGCTACTGCAACTGCCCGACGGACGCGTGCACGACGGGCTCGGAGAATAGCAACGCGGGCGGCTCGGGGCAGCTCTACCGCTTCAACAGCGATTGCGACTCGTCGCCGTCGGCACCGCCATCGCTCACGTGTACGTGCGACTGCTACGGTTCGAACACGGACATGTTCAACGGCACCCACGAAGGCCAGCCCGACGATTCGTGCCGAGAGGACTACTGCTTCGCCAACGGGATCTCTGCTGAGGATTGCATCTACGGCCAGTACGACTCATGCTGCTATTCGGAGGGATACGCTGGGGCACCGTGCTGCGAAGATGCGCCGTCGCCGCCATCGCCACTGCCCTTGACGCCACCGCCCTCGAACTACTATGAGGGCGATGCCGGCTCGGACTGCGACGTCGGAGACGTGATCGTGAGCGAGTCGGAGTGCCGCAGCGCCGCGAGCTCCGTCGGTGGGTATGACGTGGATGCCGGCTCGACCACAAACAGCCAGCGGTACTTCAAGAGTTACTCGGGTGGATGTCAGACCGGCTGTAGCATGGAGCGTGACAGCGACTGCGAGTGCAATGGCTGCGGCACCTGCTTCTACTGGAACGCGGGCTACGGCGGCGCCTGCGGCTCGCACAGGCCATTATGTGCGAGGCCACCGTCCCCACCATCGCCGCCATCACAAGTCGCTCTTGAGTTTGCCGGCATGTCGCCCAACTTTCACTACAGCAACGCGCTGTGGACCAACAGCAATCCTCACACGGGCGCCACCGATAGCCAGGGCCGTACTGAGCGTAAGACGGCGGCTTTCGGACAGCCGACGAGTGTCGTGATTCTCGAGATGACACGAAACTCCGTCACGCACTCTGTGAGTCTGCCGATCTCGCCGGCCCAATCGCTGCTGTCGATCTTCATGGGCGGCTCTATGTCAACAAACGGCAGCCTCTCTGACTGGCGGCAGCTATCTGGCTATGGCTACCAGCCGCACTGCAACCGGCAAGGCTTCAATATCGTAGGGCAGACGGCGTATGGCGGCGTCAACGGGCAGAACAACGCGCGCATCGGAATCTATTTTAACGAGCAAATCGACTGCAGCTCGCCCGACTCGGGGCGCGTGGTGGGCGGCTCGTCGCTTTCGGCGGCCGTCGGCTGCACCAGCAGCTGCACGGGCAGCAGTAGTAGTAGCACTCAGAGCGATGTGTGGGTGCGTGTGCTTGTTGCTGGCGGCTCGTCGCCGCCGCCACCACCGCCCCCGAGCCCACCGAGCTGGA